ATGACAGCTACTTTTGTTGTGAATAGCCCACCTTTAGGTTTTCAGGTTTTTATATATATAAGCAAATATATGGTCATGTACATATTTCGCCCACAGATTCTTTGAATCCTGGCGAGTAGAAAATCATATGATCACTTGCCCTTTTTAAGATTCCTTGTGGAGTTATCGCCCATTGAATCTTTAGTACGACGTACACATTTTACCTAAACCACTTACGCAACGAATTTTAAGAAAGTGACAAATTATTTTATAAAAAACAAACAGTGCAAAAATACAAACACCCTTAAAATACAAAACAACCGACCAATTTCGAGGTTTTTCGGCATTTCTGCCATACGTCCTCAGCAAAGGTCTGAGGGGTCCGATTAATCCCCCCCTCCCCCGACGAAGTGTTACCCCTTAAAAATGTTCAAAGAATTCTTTGCTTTTTTCAATCACAACACACAAAAAAATTTGCGGTAAATTTTAATGTAAATGCGGTTACTGAGTAGTGTGTGGTTAAATTTAAAGGCAATGCGGTTAAAATTTCGTCATTTGGATTCTTTAATATTAGAATTCACCGCAATTTACCGCATTCATACAAAAATGACCGCACACGCATAAGAGTAAAAGTCAAACATTCAATCCACTATATTCGAGTATGAATTGATTGTTATAAAACATTCTCGTTAAATACATGAAACTATTCTTTTTATAATACATATTATTTATTTATTATGCAAATTTTTTTGTGTGAACACCCCCCTTTATTTTACCCTTGAAGACGTATGATTTCTGGTGAGATGACCATATCTCGGCAACTTCTTAATCGATTCCGCTTTTTACATTATCTACGCGATCCCTAGATTCCACTTGTGTCAATATTTTTTTTCGAAAAAAAAAAATAATAATTTTGGTGGTCAAAATTTGTCCATAGGTTATCTCATTCAACATAAACGATATTTAAAATCTGGTTTCACAGGATGATTGGGGATTGCAAGGAATGGAAACCATTAGATTTGTGCGACTTTCGATTCAAGTTTCTGAGTGTTTGAAAAAATTTCAACTCAAATGAGGGTTTTTAACCAAAAAATTTGTTAGAAAGTTCGTCTTTCTGCTGTTCAACTCTTTATTTCAAAATGCCACCTGGTGGCAGAATTTTGATTTTTTCAAAATTTTATACTGGATGCTCAATGACTTGAAACTTTTCATAGAGGACATTATATTTCCAGATCTTTTTGAAATCACAAGGACTCACAAAACGAGTCTTGAAGTAGCAAGTTTTGAAAATAGATTATAACAAATTTACCTGTAATCTAACTAGTTCTGGATATTCTGCTGAAAGTTTTGCAAGTTCTTGATAGTTACACCTGGCAGAGCTTACTAACCATTCTTTCGTTTTTGGGTGTCCAGTTAGCTGAAAAAAAGCAATTAATATTGCATATTTAAGTTGAATTAGAAATAAATATAAATTTCAATAAAATTTATTTGAATCAAACCCGCATATTGCAACTATAAAAAAAACTATTATTTATCTCTTTCAGAATTGCTTGATGGAAATATTTAAATTGTACTACATATATTTATTTAAATTTTGAATAAACCACCAATACGAAGGAATGCTGTTCGGTGCAGTTATAATTATTATTTTATTATTTGAATAACAGAGAATTCCATATGAGAATTCTTCACATCATAGAATTAATTATAATTTTAATTTTCACCTTTATTTGTAAATTTCTTAAGACCAAACATTACCATAGAAAAAGGTATAAACTAGTGTTTTAATTATAAATTAGGAAGATGTGACAAATTTCAAAGATTTAATTGATATTCAAACTCCACGCAAAGTACAAGATTCTGTAAAAATAATTAACAGGTGGGTAGATAAGTCTTTGTCCTAACATATAGATGGCGTAATGTGAAGTTGAGCGAGATAGCTGAGACCCTAAAGATATCAAAGGAACGTGTACATCATATTATTCACGAATATTTGGATATGCGAAAGCTCTGCGCAAAGTGGGTGCCGCGTGAGCTCACAATCGATCAAAAACAACAACGTGTTGATGATTCGGAGCAATGTTTGAAGCTGTTTAACAGCAATAAAACCGAATTTTTGCGTCGATATGTGACAATGAATGAAACATGGCTCCATCACTACACTCCAGAGTCCAATCGACAGTCAGCGGAGTGGACTGCATGCGACGAACCCAATCCAAAGCGTGGAAAGACGCAACAGTCGGCTGGCAAGGTTATGGCATCAGTATTTTGGGATGCGCATGGTATAATATTCATTGACTATCTTAAAAAGGGCCAGACTATCAATAGCGACTATTATATAGCGTTATTGGAGCGTTTGAAGAACGAAATCGCGAAAAACGGCCACATTTGAAGAAGAAGAAAGTATTGTTTCACCAAGACAATGCACCGTGCCACAAATCAATGAAAACGATGGCAAAATTGCATGAATTGGGTTTCGAATTGCTTCCCCATCCACCGTATTCTCCAGATCTGGCCCCCAGCGACTATTTCCTGTTTGCAGACCTCAAGAGGATGGTCGCTGGCAAGAAATTTAAGACAAATGATGAAGTGATTGCCGAAACTGAGGCCTATTTTGAGGCTAAAGACAAATCGTACTATGAAAATGGTATCGAAAAGTTGGAAGATCGCTATAATCGCTGTATCGCCCTCGAAGGCAATTCTGTTGAATAATAAAATTGAATTTTGCCAAAAAATGTTTTTTTCTTAGTTAGGACAAAGACTTATCTACCCGCCTGTTATTCTATTATATTCACAGTTCAAGAGTTCGCTCAAGTGCTCAAATTTTTTTTCCCGAAACGAGTTTCTTATTTTAGCCCAAATTCAAAACATTCAACAAATACATTAGATGAAGTTTAATCATAGCCGGGCAGACAGGGGGTGGGAGAGGGGAATTAGAGGGGGGCCTCTGAGGCATCAAATTTTGGCAATGCGCCTTTACAAATTAGACGAAATTTCAATTACCCCTTTATGAATTTACTCTTTCCGAGAAGGTGTTTGCACTAGACAGAATAGACTTTTTGGAAAATTCTTTTGATTTGCTAGGGCTAGGGGGATTCCGCGCTCTTAAATATGAACAAATTCGGGGGATTTCAACAAATTCAAGAGATGTTAACACAACTTTACATTTTTTGGGAGATATTTTGAGATTTTCTGAACTGTTAAAAAATATATTGATTTGTTCTGATTAACTATTTGTTCAATCTCTTTTATACTTTGTTCATTTAAATAACTTAATGACGCTCTATCGATTGCACAGACAGCTAAAATATCTTCAATAATTTTTGGAATTTTATATTCGTAGAAGTTTTGATACTCACGCCAGAACCGTTCCATTGCAAATGGCACATTTCAATTTTGCTTTGTAATGAAAAAACTCACACACATGTAACAAACAACTACCATGACAGCTTAGAAGCTGTCACAATAATTCACCTATTATAAATATTTTAATGTCGCTAATGCAGTTGCGGACAGTCTGCAGCGCCAAAAATTCACCACCATTCATTATTATCTCATATTCGCCCATATTCTAAAAATGTCAAAATTTCCGACAAAATTTGAAGTATCCTACATGGTGGATATCGGTGAATACTTACGGATATTGTCAGATACGGTGAGATATTTGAATTTTTATGAGATTTTAAGAATGAAGTTAAATTTTGGTACATAAATACGCGCGGAATCCCCCTAGTGCTAGGGTTTTTAGGAATAACATTCTTTAGACTTGGTAGAGTTTTTAACGAGAAAAATCGTTCAATTTACAAAGAATTTTGAAGGACAATTCTCCCCTTGGTCATAAATTTTGATCCGGATGGATTAAAAAAACTCCTTATTTTTACACTAAAAGCTATATTTACCCCCTCATAATTTTTGAAAAGTTTGAAATTATCCCTTTACAAATTAGAAGAAATTTTCATTACAGGAAGCAACCGATATGGTTTAACAAACCATTAATCGAGATGAAAAACAAAGTTAGCAAAGCACATCATATCAAAAATAAACCCAACACAATAGAATCAGTAGAATATTTTAAATAATTAAGAAGAGAATTTAAACGCAGTGCACGGTCAGCTTTCAAGGATTACAGAATTGAGATGGAGAATTTGATAGACGATGATCCATAGAAGTTTTTCAGGCATGTGCATTACAAGAAGGGGAAGAGTGATGATCTGCCGCATTAGATGTCTTATCTGGATATGAGGGCCAGTCTACAATCGCTGGTTTCTTTGCAAAGCACTTTGCCTCAGCCTACAGCTCTTTGAAGGGAGATCTACGATTTGAAAACTCGGAAAATATTCGCAACATTTGTGCAGAAATATCACCGATTGAAAGAACTGAGGAGCTTGTTGCACAACAAATAGACAAATCTATCAAGCATTAAAAGAATCGCTTGAAACATGCACTGTACCACAGATTTGGGGAACGTATTTTGGAAGACCGGTTTACAAAAACGGTGACAAAAACAACGTTAAAAATTACCGTGGTGTCGCTCTTCAGTGTATAGTGTCAAAAATTCTTGATTCGACCGTCACGAACCATCTCAATCAATATCTAAAGAACATAGTGCCCGAAAGTCAGCATGGGTTCATCAAAAATAGGTCAACGATACCGAATTTGGCAGAATTTACATCGAATACGATAATTAACATGGGAAAGGGACATCAAACAGACACCATACATTTGGGCAAAGGCTTTTGATTCTGTGAATATAGAATTACTAATTCAAAAGCAAAGCATCATGGGATTGAATACATAGCTGTTAAAATGGATCGAATCGTATTTGTCTGGACGCAGACAAATAGTCAATATATGAGGGGTTCGGAGGAAAAATTTTACGTAGAAAAGTTCCGCGGAAAAATGTTCGGGAGCTTAATGATATCATTTAGCAAAGCTAACTGGTACCAAATAGCCCAACTAACTGATACCAAATAGCTTTAGTTGAGCTAGTTTTTAGAAGTTTCAATAAAAAATCGATGAAAATAAAATACATTTTCAGGCAAAAATCTGAAAAAATCAACAAAAATGTGGATTTTGTATGGGAGCTATACCTGTATGACATCGTAATGACGTGAATCTTTGCACAGTCTATTTTAAATTCACAAAAAATAACATTAATTGTTGCCAGATAAAAACCATTATCATATTCGTAAAATTTGACATTTTTCATGAGCAATAGCTTTTGCAGAATGGATTTAGTTTTGTGGTGTGGCTACGGCAGTAGTTTAAACACGACACCCCAAAAAGGCACTTTCTTGGATATACACCTAATATTATTTTTATTAATGACATTGTCGAAACCGTAACAAATGCACTTGTCTTAATTTTCGCAGATGATCTTAAATTGATCACAATGGTCCAATCGCCTATTGATGTCATTACTTTCTAAAATGTCATTGATCAGCTGAGCAACTGGTGCACTGAAAACAGCCTATATCTGAATCTCAGGAAATGCTTCGTAATGACGTATTCAAAAGGTGGAAACGCAATCGACTACATAAAACGCACATTAAAGAATAGTTAAGTTCACGATTGAATCGGCTAAAATGTTGTATTTTGCGCTAGTCAGATCAAAGTTAGAGTACGCGAGTATAGTATGGCAACCATACCACCGTATACACTTCGATAGAATAGAGTCAATTCAGAAAAAATTTGTGATATGGTCCTTAAGATTTGTTTACCAAAGAGATGAGAGTTTTGTATTGCCACCGTATCAGTTTAGATGTGATGTTTTAAGTATTCAACTGCTTTGGAGACGGCGTAGAAATGCCTCTATATTTTTAATTTACGATCTTTTATTAGGTAAAATAGTGTCGCGTTCGCTTAGAGATAAGATAGTATACGCAAGACAGCAATATAACGTAAACCAAAGAAATTTGAGAAATACAGAACTTATTAGAGTACGAATGTTTACAGCTGAATATGCACATAGTCAACTATTTTACGTGGCGTGTAGAAATTTTAATTTAATAAGAGAAACATTTTTGGAATCAGCACCGCGAAGCATTTTTAGAATTAGTATTGTTAAATTGGACAATTTATTATTTAATATTCGGTAAAATAGACTAAGAAAAATTGTGTTATGAATATAGTAATATAAAATGGACACAGTCTGCTGCTCCGAAGTCGAAAAGACTGGCGGCTGGTATTCGATCGGGTAGTGTTTCATTGCAAATGATATTGTAAATAATTGTGATAAAATCAGTCTGTGATCAGACGGTGAATAAATAAATAAATTTTCTAATGTTATCTACGGATCAACTACAAACAATGTATTACATCCAACCGACTTTGGTCTCTGCTGGACAGAGGGGTCCCGAATTAGACGTACACGGAGGATGGTACATCAATTCGACCATTTGGGTGGTCAAATAGTCGACTGTTTGATGGGCTCTTTTTTGCCATTATTGGGGATAATAAGTTCCAGAAGTTTGATTTTCATATCTCCGTGATGATTTTTGGCAAGCAAATAGTTGTGTACTATACAGCATTCAAAGACCTTTCATCCTCTAAAGACATGGCATCAAGTTGACCCGACCCGAACGCCCGACCGATGACCGCCCGAACTTTTTTCGGGTCGGGCGGGATTCGGGCCAGATGCTTCGAATGTTCGGATTTTTCGGATATTTCGGACGTTCGGTATCATGGGCGTCCGAGTCCGATTAGCCCGAAATCGAGTGCTTTTTGGAATTTATTTAGAAAATCTCGCGAAAAACAGAAGAAAATAATGTTAGATACATTTTTTTTTCACTTTTCGTATCAGTTAAATCTTCTTAAAAAAATACGGGGACTCGAAAATTCAATAATTACCGAGTGCCCGATCTCGAGGAATCACGGGTTTCGGTAAAAAAATTAATTTCGGGTCGGGTTTCGGTCGGACTCGGGCAAGGACACAGGAAATTCGATCGGTCCTCGGGCCAATTTTTCCATCCCGTTGCGACCTCTGGTATCAACATGACTCATAACACTGTAAAATAATGCGGTCTACTTCTTCCCCAACGAACAAATTTTGTTGGATTGTGTTCATAATCGGGTCTAAAGCGATAGAATCATGATTTGGCTCCTATTGCAATAGTATAGACGTGTCTTGATTATCATATGTTGAATGTGTTATGATTTTTTGGGTGTGATTAAAATCAATCGATTTTTGAGCAACTGTGATTTGACACGTACAGATATTTTTTTCATGTTGTGATTCATGGAAAGATCAAATGATTGATTTCACTTTAATCCTTGAACATTAGGGTGGAACATTTTTTTGAATTTCGAGGCATATCTTGATGGCCACTTGGGAAAACATGTCTTATAGTCCCCAGATTCAAGATATGAAGGAATTTTCAACTTGGGGTTCCATATAAGACAGCGACTTGAAAGGAAAGGAGATACATTTTACTGGAAAACCATGAAAAATTGCAGTGACCCAATCACCATGAAAACTTGTGAATCTTATTTTCTGACCAAAATAAGTAATATCACCAAGTTTCATGAAATTTCAACCAAAAATAAAGGTGCCTCCCATAAAAACTTATTTATTTAATTCCAAAAATTTATTTTTTTCTCAAAAACAAAAAAATGAAAATTTTGTATGGGTGTCGCTGTGTGTGATGTGTCCTGTGTCCTGTGGCGTGTTGCCAAAATTTGTTAACTCGATAAATCTTCTTCCAAAAACTCAATTCAAATTCTGACTTTGCAGTATTATTTGGGAATACTAGGAGACGTGCTGATTTGTTTTCGAGCAATATCTGTTGACCGATGTAATTTTTTTTTGGTCCGAATGGAGTACCCACAATCCATACATTTTACTTTTTTGATCATTTTTCAACCATTTTGGTGACACGATGGTTTCGTGCTCAGACATGAAATTCAAAATCTGGCTTTTCGGGATGATTGGACAATACGAGGAATAGATCTGGTCAAATTTTCAACGACATTGATTGATCGATGTAAAACTTAACTTAGACTGTGAAGAGGCACTTGTGGGAAAAATGCTTGAAATGATATTCTTTCAATTTGAACGCTGAAAGAATGTGTAGTGGGGGGTTTTTTGGCACGAGAAACCCGAATCTTATGTTAGTTTTAAGATGCAATCGATTTTTCACAGACTTTTCATACAAAAATCCACAAAAAATTTCATTTTTGTATGAAAGACTTGCCTTTGTGGTACCGTAATGATGTGAAACTTTGAGCAGGCTATTTTTTTATTGAAATTTCTTTAAACTTGGTGTGATTATTTATTTCGATAAGAAAAAAATATTCACAAGTTTTCACGGTAATTTAAGTTACTGCAACCATACATAGACCATCATTTCTGTTTATTCCCAAAATTTCGGTTCCATGCGGAAAAGTAAGCTTGCGTACGTAAGCCTCTTTATTTTTTTTTTTTTAATTTCATTTTTTTGTCAAATTGATTTTTTCTTACTGACACCGTAGCCACACCACAAAACTAAAATCCATTCTGTAAAAGCTATTGTTCATGAAAAATGTCAAATTTTACGAATATGCAGCAGCCTACGTATTGCGTATATAAAAATTATTCGAAATAATTTTTGGCAATTCAAATTAAGTTATTTTGAAATTTTGAGATTTAATTTTTTACTGAACGATTAGACTGTAGTCAAAATTGAAAATGTTACAAAAAATGGAAATTTTCTATTTAAACGTAACATTGATTGAATTCGTGCATAAAAAATACACGAATACACACTTGTTATTATATTATATCTTTTGTGTATAGGATTAATTAATGCACGAAACTTAAACTTAAATGGATCGTTCGAAGCTATGTAAATGTATTTACATGTACATGTAAGATGGAAATAAGTTTTCATTAGACTTAGAAAATTAGCAAGTTAAATTTAATCAGAAGACGACAAATGCAAATGATATATACAAGAATTCTCATTGTCACAAACTCGTTACGGCATCTATTTGCATATTACGGTTTATTACATTCATATATACAGTGCCGCAAGAAAGTTTGGAACCACCCAAGTATTTTTCATACAAAATGCCTTGAAATGACGTTTTTTGAGGTTTCAAAAATAATACTTTTTATATATTATGATGAACAAAATAGTAAATATTCAGCCAAGAATATTTACCAGTTCTGAAATGAAAAGTCTTTGACATTTTTGGTGGTTCCGAACTTTCTGGCGGCACTGTACAAACTTAAACAGTCCGTTTGAACGGATTCATATGAATCTCTGTTTTTGAATTTCATATGTACCATAAGAGAAACACATTTCAATTTGAAGTTTTGGCTGAATATCTGATTGTGTAGGCATCATCATCGACAGTCACGCTTACGGCCATGAAATTCTAATGCAGTACCACGATGTTCTTCACGCAAGTTCACTTCACGATTTTATTCAATAATGGAAATCGTGATTTATGAAGTTTGAATCGAAAAGACACGAATGCGTACACAATGTGTTACTTTATGCAATGTGCATTACAGTAATGAACTAATATCCTGTCGACGAATTTTAAGTTTGCAATGCAAATTAATGAAACATTCGAATGAATAATAGTTGTTGAAAAAATCACAGTAAAGCCCTCAAGTCAAATTAAAATAGACCACTTGAAACAGAATTTTACATCAATAAAAAAGAAGATAAATAAAAGATAAAAAAGAAAACTGCTTGTATTTTTGAAGTTAAATGAACAGTATTTTTACTTAAAATATATTTATTACTTACATTCACTAGATTCTCACCAATGACTTCATCGATTTGCTAAATGAGGAATAAACATAAAAAGAAAAATTAGCATTCTGAATATAAAAAAAGATTAAGTACAACATATTGAATAGTCTATAAAAAGTTTTATTTATAACCATAAATAAAAAAAAACTACTTTATTTATTTATTTGTTTTCAATTAAACATTACACAAGAAACAATAATGAGACAACGTTTATTGAATATGAAGCGTCAATGGAACAAAACCATTATTTGGAGAATTGTTCAAAATGAGAAAATTTTAATTTGTATTGGCATTTGTAATCTATTTTATTTATAAAGTATAACAGAAAATATTGTGTATCATAAAAAATCCTCTGCTTGGATAGCAAAATGTCCCACAATGTTTTTTTCAAAATGCCACAAGAAAATTATTGAAAATATAGATGATATCAAAATAAAAAAATTGGACAAAATGAAGAAAAGCAGTGAAAAGTTAATCTTTTGACTTAAAAATCAGAATATGTTATTAGAGAATATCGATCATCAAAATTCCTTTTAGTATTGCGGTCCCGTTTCTTATTAAGCCGCACGGTCAAAGAACTGGCAGTCTATTCGAATATATCATTGAATTTTGATGTTATATGTTTTTAAAGAGATATTGATAAAAATAATTGAACACTTCAATACTTCACGTGATGATTTGTAAAAGAAAATAGGCAAGGTATTTGTAAAAATTTGAACTATTATGTTATGGCGCTATGATATTTGAATTTTTTACAATGACTTTTTCCAATGAAATTTAACGTTCAATATCTCTGTACATTGGAGTAATCTTTCAATCCACAATGTATGACTTGGCAATGCTTCATCATTTATCTGTAGTGAAATCAGTTTTATTTCAGTCGAAACCACATGAAGCCATACATCTCATTATAAAAATAATAATAAAACTAAATTCTAATTCAATATTCAAGATGACTTGTGATTTTAAATTATCATTGATTACATTTTTTATTGTTTTCTTAGTATAAAGTGAATTGTTTTATATTCAAACACCTTTTTTCATTCCAAGATTTTAAAAAAATAGATTACCTAGCTCATATCTTTTTGTATTCAACAATGAATTAATAACGAGGGGGAACTTTGTGTCAAATATGATATTGAAATAAAATCAAGAGTGTTTTTGAAATCATATTTAACTTTAATTGAATTTAAAAAAAAGATGAACTTGTACATATTTTTTTTGTGTAACCCGTCTGCATATATTGGACGTGGAAAAAAATACATAATCCTGTTCATTTCATTGATTTTATTTGATAAATTATTCTATTTTTTATAACAATGTACCACTTATCACAGCGGACGGCAGTTTGCGCGAGTGACGAAACCACATTAGTGTGTTGAAAAGTCGACTTGCTATACACGTAATGTCCAAATAATTTCCAAATTCTAACCTGGAAGGCCCTTAGCCGCGATTGGTGTATGGTTGGAAAGCCCTTGGGCCATAGATCAAGAAAAAATATCTAAGTTTGAAAATCTGTCCTCCTGTCTTCAAAATATGGTCCATTCAAGAAAAGGGTCAAAATTCAGTTCTACGGCCACAGATGGCACTAAATGAAGTCGTTGAACCCTGAAACATCGATATTCTGATTCTAGAGCTCAATACCTTTCAAACGATACCTCAAACGTCGAAATCGAACAACCTGTTCGAAAAATCAGCATTTTAAAAATTTCATATGAATCTCTATGAAAAATCAAAATGTCTTTCTGTGGCCAATTTGCGTAGTTGTTTTCAGTGATGGTTTTTTCCTATCTGAATAGCGCAACACACTTCGTTTGTACCACACAGAGCATATATTTTCGCGTTCATTCTCTGTTCGACATGCGTTTGTATACTGACTATGGTATTAGTGTATCATACTCTGTGAGCTCACTGGTTACTTAGACTATATGACAATATGTTGTGTGGTACAAAACGCGTGCGGCAACCGCTTCGATTCAGCATCTGGGCAGCAATGCTGTTCAGACGCTGCGAATAGCTAGCGCTATTCAGATAGGAAAAAACCATCACTGGTTGTTTTTGATCTTTTTGAAACTTTCTGTGATTAAAGTACATAAAAAACTAATACTTTTTTGTTCCGGCATTTTTCGATATGGCCGCCATGTTGGCCCTGGCCGGCCTCCAAAAGTCACTTTTTGACTTTTGTCCCCACGGACACCGAAGCGCCATGACTTGACAACTTCCAGACATATGCATATCATTTGAAAGGTCTTGAAGTGAGCTATCGAATGGAGTCATTTTCGGTCCAAAAATTTCAAGTTGGAGTGGCCAAATTGGCCAAAAACCAAAAAGTTACCGTTTGGCCGGACACATAATGGTCATTAGCTCGAAAACTAGCCTTTCTTGGTCACTTGAAAACTTCACCGATTTTTAGGCCCAAGTCTAAGCTATAAAATGCCGCATAGCTCATATCTCAGAAAATTCTTGTTTTCGAGATATGGCCTTTGATAGTGCGAATATGACCAAAAATGGCCAAAAATGACAAAAAATGTTACTCTTAACATGGTACTCCAATGACTCTGTAAATATGCTTTGTGACTAGCCAAACAAAATTGAATAAAATATCGACCATTTTGGATGGCTATTGCACCAAAAATCGGCCAAATGTACCAAAATTCGAATTTTCACAAAAATGTCTAAATGTATGAAATATGAAATCTTAACAACAAATAACTACATGTTTGATAGTTTCCTCGCATAAGATCGATAAAATACCGAATTTTATGTCCCCTCTTACCAGGCGAGAAGGTGGACTATCGTCGGGAGAGGTGCATGCGGTTAGTCACAAATGAAATTAAAAGAAATCTACAAAAATGTTAGTATAAATGGCAATTATGCAAAAGGTCATGCAAAAATGGCCATTATTTCATACGGTCGCTGTGGGACCTAGACTTGACATAACTAGGACATATGCATCTTCGTTAGAAAGGTCTTAAAGATGGCTCTCGAGTGGTGCCAATTTGACTTAAAAATTTCATGTGGGGGTGGCCAAATTGACCGTTGGCCGCACACATAACGGCCATTTTTTCGAAAAAGACTGCATATGTTCTCTTGAAAATTTCATCAATTTAAGCCTCAAGTCAAAGATAAATAAATATGCATACCACACACCACAGAAAAAACCACTTTTCCCCATTATGAACCACAATTTATATGATTTTGATCCAAAAATAACCTAAAAATCCATATTTTCATTGTATTTGAAAAAGATTCAAATTCATGTTTCTTGAATCTTTAACATTGAAAATAGCGCTTACTCTACTTAATTATTGATATCAAATAAAAAACCTCTATCGAGGTGAAGAACGAGTGACGAAACCAAAATTTGAAACACAATCAAAAGAAAATTAAAATACCAAAACAAATGCAGATAGTTTCCATGTCAAAATTATCTCGAACAATAGTGTTCATATTCAAAATGCATGTCAAAGCATCAAATGATAAATAAGTACAAAACACTTCTTTCGAAGTTCTCAATGTGACGCAATACTGCACATCTGAAATCTAAAAATGATCTGATATAAATTTTCAGTGACGCTTGCAATCAAATTCATGAACATTTTTAATTTTGCGTCGCCCCTTGAGCATTTTCGCCATGAAATTTTCATTTTTTCAGAAATGAGAGAGGCGACGCAAAATTAAAAATGTTCATGAATTTGATTGCAAGCGTCAC